TTCGTAATCTCTGTCTTTCTCTGTCTATTTTTGTGCATCTCTGTGCATCCAAATCTGTTTCTTTTTGGTGGTCTCTATCTGTCTGTCTGTGTCTCTCTATCTCTCGGGTTGTCTCGGTTTGTCTCTGTTTGTCTTTGACTTTGTGTATCCGTGTCTGTCGTTCATCTCCATTCTTTGCGTCTTTTTGTGTCTCTCTGTCTATTTCCGTGTGTCCGTGTCTGTCTATTTGGTACTGTCTGTCTATCTTTGTTTTTGTGTTTGTCTTTTTATCTGTCTGCGCTTGTTTCCATGGGTCGATGCACAAAGATGGCATACTTCCGCGTTGCCGCGTGCTGTATTTCCCCTTTTTAGCTCCGCTTGCTTCCTTTCGTTTTGGTTTTCTTTTCGTTTCTAATTGTTTTTAAAATTGTTTTTATTTGCTTACGTGCTGCTCTTTCTCTCTCTCTCTCTCTTATTCTCTCTTTCATTCTTTTTTTTTTTTTTTTTTCATTGTCTTTTTCTCTCTCTCTCTTTCTCTCTTTTTCTCTCTCTTTCTTTATCTCTTTCTCTCTTTCTCTCTCTTTCTTTGTCTCTTTTCTTTTTTCTTTTCTCTCTCTTTTTTTCTCTTGTTTCTTTTGTTTTTCTTTTTTTTATATGTTGATTCTTATTTTTATTTATTTTTTCTTATTATTTCTTTCTCTTTCCTTTTTGTTTGCTTTTGTATAAATATATAGTTTTCTCTTTCCCTTTATATCTTTGTTATTCTCTCTTCTCTGTTTTTTTTTCTCTTTTTCTCTCTTTTTTTCTCTTTTTTTTCCTTCCTCTTTGCTTTTTTGTTGGTATTGTTATTGATGGAATTAACTGGTTCTCTCTTCTTCTATAAATCGGTATGGCCTCGAGGTCGTAATTGCCCATGCACCGGAAAGCCGTTGGGCGAGCGGCTAGGCATAAGCTCCCGCCTCTTCGCGCGGCCCGGAAGGCCCCGAAATTTTGCTTGAAATTTCGGGGGGTTCTTAATAATTTTAATTAGAGTTCCGAGGTTTCCCAAATTTTGGGTCGTTTCCGACGACGCGGCTCTTAGGTTTCCGGACGTTTCCCCCGCAGATTTCTTCAGAATTCGGCGGCTTGCCGAAAAAATTACCGGGCCAAATTTCGGGGAATTTCGTGCCTGTCTCCGTCTCTGTGTCTCCCAGTCTGTTTCCATATGTGTATATCTATCTATTTCGTAATCTCTGTCTTTCTCTGTCTATCTTGTATATCCCAATCTGTTTCTTTTTGGTATTTGTGCCTTTCTGTATTTGTCTGTCTGTGTCTGTCTCTCGGGTTGTCTCGGTTTGTCTTTGTTTATCTCTATGTGTCCGTATTTGTCGTTCGTCTTTGTTTCTTTGTGTCTTTTTGTGTCTTCCTGTCTGTTTCCGTATTCCGTGTCTGTGCATTTGGTAATGTCTATCTATATTTATCTTTGTTTTTATTTGTTTGTTTATTTGCACTTGTTTTTGCGGGTCGGTTTATAAAGATAACATATTTCCACGTTGTTATATGCTATGCTATATCTCTCCTTTCTTAAGCTCCGTTTGTTTCCTTTCGTTTTGTTTGTCTTTTCGATTGTTATTAGCATTGTTTTTGGTTGCTTGTTTCCTGCTTTTTCTTTCTTATTTTCTTTTTCTCTTTTTTTATTTTTTTCTTTTTCTTTTTCTGGTGCCTCCTTATCGCGCATAGGGTGATGAATAATTGGTTGATTCTCTTATTATGAAATTTATGTATATAAAAAAATAATAAAATATAATTGCTAATTATATATTGAAATATTTTCTTTTTTTATATTATTAAATTTAATGATTAATAATATGGAATATAAAAAATATTGTTTATTATATCATTTTAACATATATATGAAATAATATTTTGTTATATTATAATCTAAAATATTATAATATATATATATAATATAAATTAAATAAAAATGTTTAATAAATTTAAATCTAAATCATGATATTTATATATCATTTATGAAAATAATTTTAAATTTATAAAATATTAATTGTTATAAATAATATTAATATTAAATATATATTATATTAATTCGATTATTTAATTATAAACTTATAATACTAAAATTAATTAATTTTATATTTTATTTTATATATTTAATATATAATTAAAATTTTATTTTAATTTATTTTTATCTTGGCGAATAAATTATAATATTTTAGAATTCATTATTAATATCTTTAATAAAAATATCTAATATCTTTTATATTTGCAATCTATATTCCTAATATCATCAATAAACCATAGAACATATATAAAATCCTAAATAAATTCGAAAAAATAGTAATTCGATTAGGATATTGCATTTAAACAAAATCTAAAGAAACATGGGGGGCTTAAGAAAACGACAATTCCCAATAATATTAAGAAGGAATAATAACCCTTTTTCATAATCTTCGAAAGATATTCAAGAAATGAATAAAAAATAATAAATAATGAAATATTCGAAATTTATATACCTAATATATAAATAATATAAATAAAAAAATATAATATATATATATATAATTAAAAGAATATTATTTTTTATACATAAATAACTATTATTATAATTGAAATTGAAATTTATAATATCCAAATTAACATTACCATTATATTATTAATATACTAAAAATATATATAATTAACACAAAAATATATAAAAACAATATTATTCCATTCAAGATATCTAAACCAAAAATAAACAAATCATATCAATATATATATATATATATTAAAGAAAATAATATATATATATATAAAATATACAACTAATTAAACAAAAATATTCAATTATAAAATAAAAAACCAACCCACAAAATAAAAAAACAACAAGGAAAAAATATAAATAAAAAAAATAACAAAATATATATTATTTCAAATAAATCATAATTATTTAATCTCATTTACAATCAAATAATCTTATCTGAAAACTAAATATAATTCCAAAAAACATTTATTTTCCAAATTTCGTTCCTATAAATCTAAAAAAGAAAACATTAAAATAAAATATAAAATTCAAAAAACAAAAAAAATCATCAACCAAAACAAACCATTATTTATAAATATATAACAACAATAATAATATAAATAACACCAATATATATATATTATAAATTCTAATATTTATATCTTTAAACCCAATTATATACGGCTCTATTGATAAATATTTTCCCATCCATTATAATAATCCAAAATGTGAATACATATCTAGGCCGCTCAATAAATAACAATACCATCTCCCAAATACATATGTTAATATAGAAATATATCTCCAAATCTTTCCAAAATACATGGTAAGCCAGGGCTTTCGCAAGAAGACACTACGTTCTGTTAAAGGACTCAAATATTTGCTTTGCATGTTTTCTCTAGTTATATTCAATGTATCCAACTTCAATGTTCCAAAGCAAAACATGTTAGCCACATCTTTCTGAAAGCGAGCTCTTGCAAAGCGACGGGTTTTTCAAGTGCGCCGACAACGGTTTTTCACGGGCTTTTCACGATCGAAAAACGTTGTGTTATGTTGTGTTCACGCTACCTTGGCAGAAGCAATTTTGTTCCCCGCGCTCGCATACAAAGATCGCGTTGTGTCACAGAAAATGCTGATTTGACACATTGTAAAATCATAGGATGAGGTGATTTTCACGTCGAGCTTGTTCGCCGCTGCCTACTTTGCACGCGCGGCCTTCCAGCCTTAAAACGTGCAGCCACAGTCATGCATCATTCGACCGATCTCATGGAGGCTGTTGCTCACTCAAAGTATGGCTCGACCCCGAACTGTCTTTTTCTCCGTTGATCATTTGCTTTGAAAATGGCTGGCGCTTGAATGGTATGCTTTCATAAAGTTAAAAAGGGGTGCAGGGTGCAGCCAACAGGTAGTGAGAGAACTGACACATGTCACCACGCGTGCTCCGAACTGAGAGCGGCACCGAAGCCCGAAGAGTGGCCGCATGTTTTGCCTCACGCGCTCCCATGAAATGCTTTGCCCACCTTTGCAACCCTGAACATGGCTCCACTCACAACACCAGGTGATACTATGTGCCATTTGGCTCTATTTCAAAAGTGGTACCATTTTGGGGTAGGTGCACCACTCATTTTAGCCTGTTTTAGTGGGGAATGGGATATTCACTGGGGGTACGATTCGGATTTTGACCCATGGCCATATGTATATGCCCCGGCTCCACAAGCCCCAAACAACAAGCATACGCTGCACCCACACCCCCACACCTGCCCGCTCTTCCTCTTCGGACTGGCCTGCGCGGCCGCAAGTCTCATTTCGCGCGGGTGATTCTTCTCCCTGAAACATCATCCCACAAGGAGAATCTCATGATCAATTGGATCGAGTCACGCTTAAAACAAAAAAATATGGCCCCAGTCTGGGGTTGATCATTTTCAGTAGAGAGTTCAATGGGACTCAGAGGGTGCCATGATGCACTGGGTCCCAAAGGCAGGTCGCGGTTGTTGGTTCACGAAACTGACGTCTGCAGAATAACCCTCCAAATGGTTGCTTAAATACCAAAGACCCCGCCCCCAGTTCATTTTGAGAATCTCCTCAAAACGGAGCCACTTAAAGCAAATCAAGCAAACAACAGTTCAGCCAGAGGAAACAGTTTTTGAGAACCCAGTTAACCCGAAATCGCCCGGCAACTCCAGCTACCTCAGTCAACCTGGTTAAAGCCTGCAAGGCATGAGTTCAAGAGGGCGCGGGTTCGACTTTTTTCCGCGCGCCTCACTGCCGGGCGAGGTCGGGGGAGTCCATGGATCCTTGAATCACAGACTCGGGGCCCGGCTGCAAACAGAATTCCCCGCCCGCCTCTTTCCCTCAAAAAGGCACTTGTCGAGGTCCAACACCTTCCAACGCAAGGTCCACTTAGGTCAACAAATCCCCTTTAAGAAATCACCGCAAGGGAAACGGGAAACGCACCTGAAGTGCGCCAACAAAGTGATGCTTAAGACCGCTCAAAAGGAAGCCCCGCGCAGAGTTTCGCAGATCAGTCATCCTGGGAGCCTCGCCAGTGGTGCACGGCCAGCCGAAGGCATTGCACGTCCAGCCCTGGCTGGTTTAGGGAATCCACCCCCGTAGAAAAACAACAACTCCGTTGGTGTTCGTAACTTGGCAAGACTTGTTGAAAGGGAACATGAAGAAAATCCAAAAGGAACAAGGTGTGTTATATTGCAAGGGTTCAAGGATGGCGCCTTTCTGGGACAAGGGGGCCTCACGTTCCTGAATGTCCAGTGTCCTTTATCCCAGACCACCATTGTGGTCCAAAGACACAGGCACCACCAAATCCCCAAACCACGGCCGAGTTGCAGGACCGGGTTGTGCTGCATGGCGGCTTGTTGCCGAGCCGGGCCTCGGTCGGCTGGACCGAAAGCCCAAAGCTGGCCACTGTTCTCCAAGGGTTGATGAAAATGGGAACCCCAAGTACAAACGAGGGGAAACTCCAAAGTTGACCCCGAATAAATACACCCCGGCAGGCCACTTTTGGAGGGCCAGAAACCGCCCCCGTATGAAGCTGGGGTTGATTCATCTTGAACAACCCAGGGAGCCCAACAGGAGTCTCAGCCGGTGACGTCCCAGCTTTGCCAGGAGGTAGGTGCAAAAGTTGCCTCAGGTGATCGACGGAGAGCAACACGCACTGGATGGATGTGTGGGCGCTGATTCGTTTTTCCATTTCTCGTGTTTTTATCTGTTTTTAATTGAAACACCTCCCCTTGCGGCTGCCCTTTGGGCAAGATCCAGCCAAAAACGGTTGGGCTATTTCGCGCCCAGGTTTCGACGCTGCCAGGCCTACGCCGAGTTGTTGGAAAGACTTCTGCACCTGAGGCAAGCGGTGAGTCGGTGGAGTGACGAGTCTAAGACGCAGCTTCGGCCAGGCTCGGGCCGTCCATTTTACTCAACCTTCCAAACAGCGATGCGATCTGGACGTTGCCCAACTTTCAAAGTCAAGATGTGGCAGAACACGGAGGGAAGCATGACACACCAGTCAATCCAGCCAAACCCTCACATTGAACCCTGACGCCCTGACCTTCTTCACCCCTTTTCACAGCCCTAACCCCCTCCCCCGCCCCCCGCACCCCCCCCCCCCCCCCGCACATCCGAACCTTTTTCGGGGCCGTCGGGGGTTCCAAGTCTAGGCATGAGATTTGATGCTTTGTGGATCCCTTGTCGGAGATACTAAAAAGAGCTCTTACTAGTAGACTGATAAAGGAACAAGAGGAAGAAGTGGAATCCACAACAGCGGCCAAACTGACTCCTGGAAGAAAGTGGCAAGAGAAAGGTAATGCGGTCCCGCAAACCATGATACCTGATGTTCCGTGCGTGGGCATCCCCGAATAATTTGAGCACTCCGTAAATGAATCCCGCCGTTTTGTTCCGGGCAGCGGTCCGGTCGACCCCTAGTCATCCGGGTTTTGAGCTTTTTGGGCTCTCACTTCTCAAGGCTTGGTCAAAGAAACTTGCTGCAACGACCTCCCTGCAACAAGTTGTCAACTTTGTGGGGGTTTACTGGAAAACCCAACTTGATTTAAGAGTAAGGTCTTTAAGATCCAAGCCAATAGTCAAGAAAAGCCCAGACTGTTTACCATTGAAAGGTCCTGCACAAAGAGCATGAAGCCCGGCAACTTGGGAAGGGAGATTTTTCCTTGACAGGAACAGCTCCATTGGCTTGTCCACTTGCCTTTGCCGCCCGGCATCGCCCGGATTCGCCCGGCCTTACACCAGGCGTGAGCACGCACCAGCTGAGAGCCTGAGCGTCTCCAGAGTTCACGGAACTTCCGGGTTGTTCAAAATGGGGGATTCCCAATCCTACTCCGTAGTGTGTAGAGGGCACCAGTACAACAAGGGAAATCACTACTACTATTTGGCATACGGCATATAGAGGGGTTCCTTGAATGTACCTGGACTGGACCTTCGAGTTTCAGCCAAAAAGATGCACCCATAAAAATTTGGGAGAGAGGCCGACGCCCCAATTCTGCTTTTTCAACTTTCCTCGCAACAGGCCACCCCTCATGTCGTTGAGGGTGTGCGTCTCCGCCGGGCAGCAGCTGGACTCACGGGTTGCTTGGAGAAGTATGCGGCCTTGTCCACTGCTTTAGCTGCTGGACCAATGCAGAACACATCTTCCTCTTCCTGCCCTATGGGTCGTCCAAGGTTCCGCTTGTTGACACCAAACTCAGATATACACCCAAGGAATCAGTCTTGAGAGCGGTTTGGGCGCGCTTCTTTAGAACATGTCGTTCCCTCGTGTTGGTCATGTCCTTGTTCGTGCGCTTCTAGTACTCTTTTCAGTATCCTCATGGCGCGGATCAACAAAAACACGCATCCAAAAGAAAGGAACAATTGGGTGTACAACCTCTCAACTTAGGGACCTCTGCATGTTCCCGAGTTGGAGAGCCCATGGGCGTGCGCGCCCTTTTTGCGGATTCCGGACACCCAAGCTGATTCTGGGTTTGGTGAAACATCAACAGTCTATGGGACTGTGGGACTCTCTAAATTACTCATGTGACCATGGGTCAAAATCCCGTACCCCCAGTGACATCCCAATCCCCACTAAAATAGACTAAAAAGGGTGGTGCACCAACCCCAAAAAATGGTGTAGCAATTTTTGACTGTGCCCCACATGCTAGGGCCCCAGCGGGATGAGAAGGAGCCACCAACCGGCCAGCCCTGCACATGTGCCTGAGACGCCGAAGGCAAAGCTACTGTGGATGGACAAATTCCATTTTGCACCACCTAAGAAACCACGGGAAACCAGTGTTCGTTGGCATTTACAGGGGAATCATCGTTCCAGGGATTTCCCAGGTGGTGCAGGACTTCGTCCATCCACACTATGAACCAAACTGGCTGACACCAACAGAACATCTACACTCTTGAAAGCCAAAACAGGGGCTGACCTTTCGAAGCATCCGGAGGACATTGACGTTGCTGTGCTTAGAGAACGCCCTTATGGCCATGGCATGGCATGATCCTGCACAAACTTGTGGTAGGGATAGCCATGGTTTCCTTCCATGTGTACACGGCGGCTCTGGAAACAACTCTACACTGACCAATTTCTTTTTGGCACGCAAAGAGAGATGGAACTCATTCCGGTTTCTTCCCCTTCAGGACCCTTCTGGCACAACTGCCGGTGTTTGAAACGAACAAGGGTGAACATCCGAACCCATCTCCTTTTGGTCTCCCTTTTGGATCAAACATGGGCGACTCAGACCCATGGAGCAGCCGGTACGGGGCGCCAGGCGCAAAGTCTCGAGAGCACCGGCCTCAGGCCATCCCGTGCCAACGTCACCATCCGTTGCCAGTTCGACTCACTTAACCAGTGGATTGCCCAAAGTCCAAACTTTTGGTTTCCCTCCCACCAACTAACATGGAAGTGCACAAAGCCCCTTTCCAAGAGGAAAGTATTCTTTCTACAGGGGTCTGTGCACTTCCATGCTAGGTGGGAGGGTTGCCACCAAAATGGCCTTCCCACCAAAACGTCCAGGAACTCAGGACGTGAGTTTCTTGCGGCCCATCAAGACAGGCTTGGGCTTTGGCCCCTCAAGGCGCACATCAAAATAGCTTGGGGCTTCGAAGCCTGGGAAGCTGAGGCCTGGGCAAGATGGAGAAAGTCCTGAGAGGGTCACGTCATACGATGCGGGAAGTGAGTCGGGTGTCTGTGCACATCCATTGGGGAGGGTAGTTTGGGTGTCAACGCTTCGGCTTCCCTTTTGGCTTCCCTTTGAATCAGACCCCGAAAAGGGTACCCTCGAAACTCTCGAAAAAGACAGTGACACAGTCACACACGCGCACACGCGCACACACACACACACACAGAACCGTTCTCTTTCTTCCACAACGTGTGCAGTATGGCAGGGTTGGCTACCTCCCAATTGCCCAAAGGAGCAGGTGGCGCTGCGGCCATCATACACTACACTCCATTGAAACACTGGGCAACCCAGTGAGCCAGCTTGGCACCTCTGGAATGCATAGCTTGCTGTTTTGCTACAGGCCACCGCGCTGCCCAAGTTCAAGCTTTGAGTGAGCCCTCCTGGCAAACCAGCCAACCAGGAACATCTGCAGGACAGTTAGCAACAACGGGTGGACAACAAGGCGTTGTTGAAAAAAAGGAGTACGAACTCCCTTGTTCCTTTCGTGGACGTGGCTAGCACCAAAACTACAAAACTACCAAACTACCAGTGGGTGTCCGTCGGTGTTCCTGGTTTGCTGGTTGCTCCGAATTGGAAGCTAAGGCTGCATCTGAGCATCCCCGGTACACGCCTGAGCACACAGAAAGAAACAATTGGCTGTAGCAGCTCGCTTGGCCCCTCGTCCCCCAGAATGGAGAAACAAATCCTTCTCACTTCTCACCAATAAGCTGGAAGCGCACATCCCTTCCCCAAGGGAAGGCGTTCGTACAGAGGTTTGTGGGCTTTTGAGTTTGTTTGTGGAGCAGCCTCTTTGGCTCTAAACGCTGCTGGAAACAAGGTTGTACGGTCACTTTGTTTGATAACGGCAACCCCCTTTAAAGTGAAAGAGTCGGACGGAAGGCCCGCTGTGGCAGAGCCATGGGCAAAGTTGATCCAGCTCGATGATGTGTGTGTATGCACCTCAGACCCGGGCTTTTTTGAACCTGCCCGTGGGAAGAACAGGACACTCCTCCGGCTTAGTTTCAAAGGAAGCCCCACCGACAAAATTGGAAAAAACGATGGCTGAAAAGAATGGGGAATCAACCCCTAGAAAAAGGGTGCTGCCAGTTTGGCCTGGGAGAAGCCAGCGGCATCGGAGCCCTGGGATAGCAACTTGGCTGTGTACAGCAACCCTGTGACAGCTGCCGGTACACGTGTCTCCCAGGTCCCTTCTCCCCTGAATTGCCGGCAATCATGGAAGCTGAGCCTTTCTTCTCTTCAAGAAACAGCCACTCGTGGAAAAAGGGGTGGGGGGTCGAAAGACACAAATGGGTGAGTGAAAAGAATGGGCAATCAACCCTTAGACTAATATGACAAACACGGCGTGTCTTTAAAAGAAGGGACCCCCCCCCCGTAAAAAGGGGTTTCAATTTTTTGGTTTCCCTCGAAACCAACCCCCAAAAAGGGCTCCTTCCCTCCAATTGGCTGGCTTGGGTTGGTTTAAGGGGTTGCCCATGTGCCCTCTGCCCATTTAAAAATTTACCACGTCGTCTTCCATTTGCTCAAGCCCCCTGGAAAAAAACAAAAAACATGTTTCCAGTAGTGCTCGATTCCTTTCAAAACCAACAGGGGAAAATAAAAATACTCTTTAACAAATGGAAGTCGCTGGGGGGGACGTGGTCACGCGGCCCTCTGCTCCCGTTTCGGCGAAGACGCCGAGAAGCAGTTCTCCGCGGAAGCTTTCGCCAAGGTCCATGCCTCCGTTTTGGAGCACCCTATCCCCAATGGGCGGCTCGTCTTTTTGGGAGCCGGCAGCCTTCTCTTCTTGGGGGGGGCGTAAAGGAAAGGGACACCAAAGGACACCAACTACCATTCTTTGCGGGTCGCCTAAGGAAACACCTCAGTGAGTAATGACCTGCCCGGGGAGGGGGCTCCGAAGAAACTCTAATTGGCACGGGAGGCTTCGATCCTGATGTGCTCCGAACTTCTTGGCCGCTGCTTGAGCTGTCGTGCAACGCCGTCTTCCCAGGCTGCCCTTGAAACTTTACAAGGCTGGATTTGGAGTAAACCCAATGCATTGAAAAGCTTTGATATGAGTTTTAGAAGTATGCAAAGCCTGCCAAGCGCTTCCGGCAACCGGCTGAAACTTGTTTTTTAGATAAGGGGAAAGAAACCGGAAGAGAGAACCAGCGGTGGAAGATCCGATGTCAAGTTTGCTTTAAGCCATCACTCAAAAGGAGTGGTAGTCAGGCGGAACTAGCAGTGATGCACATTCCCTACCCACAGGCATTATGACCATAACAAAAAGCAGTACAACACACTGCTTATTCTTCACGGGCGAAGGTTGCACCACAGCGACTTCCCACCCAACCTAATTACAAACAATTTGGGGCACGCACCTTGGGCAACTTGACAACAAAGTTGACGCAACAAGGCGACTCTTCTGGCTCCGCTCTGATGAGTCACAATCAAAACCTGGTGTTGAGATGGTCTACCCAAACCGTTGGAAGGAAATTACACGAAGGCCGCAACTACTTCTGGCTCAGAATATATTTTAATTGCTAACCTTCACCTACAGTACCCGGGTTTTGATTGTGGCTCTGGTTAGAAAAAGTACTTGCGCTCGCTGTTTCGGTACTATCCCCTTTAATGCTCCTTCTCCCGAACTGTTCAGCAGGCCCAGCGTCTGATTCACCGAATATTTACAAGTGTGCGTGCCCAATCTTCACAAACTCGAAGAGTCGATACTACTTGCACCTTACACCAGGCTGGGATTATCCGACACCCAAATCAAAGGACACTCTAACTAGGCCTGCAAGGTATCCTTTGCTTAGTTGGTTACACCGCTCCTATTTTTCTTGCCTTCGGCACAAGGACAACACCCCCCGCCTTGGACGCAAAGCCATAGGCAATCAAATTGATGGCCGTCAGCTGGCACCTCGTTTCAGGTGAGCAGGGCGCCGGCTCCCATTTGGGAATTTGGGGGCGGGGTTCCAAACGAAGTGTTCTTTTGGCTTCACTTAGGCATAAAGTTGTTGGCCAAACGGTATTTGGTCGGTCCTAACGTTTCTGGTTGGTTTCCCGTAAAACCCATCCTCAAAAACCCGACAAAACGCACCTATGGACCTATTCACCTAGCATTCAGCTACAGGTCGAAGCAGGACGTAAGGCGCTTTCAGCTGGGACTCTCGCGAGGAGACGCGGTTGCCACGCTCATCCAGCCAAACCTCGATGAAAAGGCCAAGGAGATCGGCAGGTTTTATGTGGGTGGACGACATCCATTTCGCACCACTTTGAAACCATGGGACGCCATTGTTCGTTGGCATTTACAGGGGAATCAAATAATTCCAGGGTTTCTTGGGTGGTGAAGGAATTCGTCCATCCACAGTATTTGATCACCTTGCGGGTGGTTTCCATTATTGAAACGGTCGTACCTTTGGGGGGATCCACCAGGCAACTTGGAGGAAATCTTGTATCTAGCACCCGGCTTGGTTGCTGTAACGACCCCCTGTGCAAAAAGTGAATCACTTCTGGTGGGTCCAATGGAAAACGAGCCACATCATGGTGAGCTCGTTGACACAGGAAGCTTGGATCGCATGGCAGGCCTTTGAGGCAGAGCTGCAACCTTGCGGCCGCGACTTTTCACCTCGCTGCCCTGCTCCTTTGGAATTCCGCCTGCTGCGCGGCGTTGAGCTGCGCAAGCTCGGCAGTTTCCTCGGCTGCAAGACTGGGTGACCACGCGCTCCCAGGTCCGAGAACCAGCAGGAACCCAAAAAGACAAACCGAAAAGGGGAGCCAAAAAAGGGACAAGTCGCCTTAATGAGTTGAGTTCAACCCACAGGCCCAGGCGCCACCACAGAACTTGGCCCTAAAACCGAATACCTCCGCAAATTATCGTTGAACATGGGTTCTCATTTAAACATGCCAACCGTTCGACGTTCGGGGAATCGGTTTTGGACCCACTTTTTCAAGGGACCGAATCCCGAGCGTCAGGTTCCATGTGCAAAGGGTGGGAGGGTTACGTCCCTGCCGAGGCACCAGCATCATGTCGAGGCAGGGCTGCTCCTGCCAGGGGCAGCCCGCGAAGTGCCGCACGAAGTCCCCAGCGCGCCACTCGTGGGCCATCCAGTCCACCGATGCGGGCGGCACAAAGGCATTGAAGTGGGCCTAGCGCCGTAAGGGCCCACGAGTGGCTGGTGTCTTTTTTGGAAAATCCTCAAAATGGGCTCGGCTTTCCTTCTCCATGTGAGTGTAGGGGGATCTCTAAAATGGGAAACCCCTTTTGGCTTCAAACGGTCACCAAAAGTGGGTAACCCAGAAACCAAAAAACAGCCCCAAACGTTTTGGTGAGCATTTGGTGATTTTCCGCTAGAAATCCAGATAAAGACCATTCAACAAGAGACGGAATTGCTTAAAAAAGGGGAAACAAACCAAGAAGCCATCAACTGGTGCACTCTTTTGTCCATCCACAGTATGTCAAAAAAACCGGAACGTCCCCTGCCTGATGCACCAATCGGACCTCCCTTGGGTAGGTGAAATCCGCCTCTGGGAAAGACAGATCCATGTCCAGCGCTCCTCGGACCTTGGTGTTATTTGGTGTTTCTTTAACTTCCCTTCAGATCCCAATGAGGTTGGTTTTGTGGGAAGTGAGGTTAGTGTTGTGTTTGTTCGTTGGTGTCATGAGAATCACCCGCAACTTAAGTAACATAAGATAACGGTCAGGACCCAAACAGGACCCAACTAAGACCACAGGTCCATGCTTCATGCTTGGCGGGGGGTGGGTGGGGCTGATCATTTTCAGTGGTGAACCCACCAAACAAGGGAGAGGATGCCGCTGAGCAACGCTGGTGAAGTTCCACCCACATGGAAGTCATGAGAGAACCTTCCCGGTTACAGGCTGTTTTTTCAGTTCTCCGCCAAGGAAAGCCATGGATGAACCGGCCCTTCCCAGATGTGGACCAGCGTCAAGGTGAGTGAGTGATATTCCTGTGCGACCATTCTGGATGTCATCCCCCCCGGTACCCAGATTTGCTTCACACCCAGCGCCAAGCCCCCAACATCCAGAACCCGGAGCCGATCCGATTTTTTTCTCGGCCCATCGCCCGCGAACCCCTCGCGATCGCTATCGCCAGGGGGCCATGTGCCAAAAGAACATGGACTGATCCCAGGCCACCGTAAAGCGGCTGCCGGCCACCCGCTCCAGGAAGCCCATGGACCACGCCGAGTTCCGGATCAGGAAGACGCCGGTATTGATGCCACCCGGGTCCTTAGCTGCAAGGACCTGGACCGACGGGCTTTACCTTCTGCCTTGAGATGGGCCTTGAGATGGGTCTTCCCCAAGAGGTGAAAAGGGTCGATTTGCGTTTTGGACAGTCTAGCAGTTCAAAGATGAGGTGAAGACTCTGCGCAACGCATACATCCGGGCAATCATGCATCACTTTTGGCGAGCCCGCCGAAACACAACAGGCAACAAGTCAAAAAGGTGGGCGACGCGTACTCTGAACCATAGGTGACCTTTTGGAAAGCAAATGGCCCTGGTGAGTGAGTCTAAACCTGTCTAAACCGGTGGAACCCATCTATTTCTCACCTGGCCAGGTTCAAAACCAATTGTACCATTTTGGGATAGGTGTACCCATGTTAGAACCTATTTTAGGTGGGATTGAATCGGATGTTCACTGGGCGTACGATTTGGGTTTTGAGCCATGCCCTGAAGATGCACCCAGCATCTTCGGCCACCAGGAACTGCGTGGCCTCCTCCGCGTAGGTGCTGATCAGCTCAGCGATCGGCCGCGAGAAGTCGGTGAAGAACGCGTCGCAGTCCTCGGCGCCGGGTCTGCCCAAGAGCCGGCAGCGCCGTCGTTGTCTGTGGCGCCCTCCTTTTCTTGGGGGTGGCTTACAAGGGAAACACAACACAAACCAACCATGTCTCTCTTCTTGTGTTTCTGTTTTTTGGGAGGGGGGTCTCCCCTGCAAATTGACGTGCCGCCCCAAGCGATCACTTTCAGGAGTCCCTTTTTGGGGAACCCGCTTGGTTTCATATTGCACCAGGGCGAAAGTGGATGTTACATTTCGGGAAGTGCAGGGAGCGACTCAACCCGAGTGCAGTGCGCTGATGCGCCCCGAGGGTCGATGAAGAAGAGCCACTCCGGCGGCTGCGGATCCACCGACGTGGCTTGATAGGCCCAGTGTGGCGTCTGACCGCCTAAGCGCTGATACACCACCTGGGTCAAAGGGAAGGAGCGCCGGTGAGTTTTGTTGGCGATTTTTATTAGTACGCTAAAAGTTTCAACACAAACTGGGCTGCTCAAAATGGAGCCCGATCCCTCCTCATCCTTAGTACTGGAGTGGAACAAGAAGGGAAACCACTACCATCTGGCATAAAGACTTGGAACAACCCATAAAAAAACCAAAAACAACATCCACTAGTGATAGATTCCCTTCAAAAACAACAAGGGAAACCAAACAATATTCTTAAGCAAATGGAAGACTTGGAACAACCCATAAAGACAAAGGATGCCACCGAGCTGAGCCACATACATCTTGCTGTAGTGCGCCTCTCTGTCAGGCAGGGCGGATTCAGTGTGAACCACGTAGCCATAGCCATGCCGCGCGGCATAGGCCCGATGATTTGGGACCGAGAGGCCCAGCAAAGGAGACTCCAGGCTGGTTTTGGAGGTCGGGTCTGGCTTGTAGGAACCTGGCAATTGCTTGAATTCCCGTTGTAATCCTCTTTCAACACATTTGCAGGGTCCTCGGCTGCTATTCCTCCTCTTTCAATATATTTGCTGCATGCAATGCTTCTGGCCCGCTACCCCATTTTCTGCTGCTCGCGCTTGTTCCGCTTTGCAGCCAGCCCATTCGGGCGTGCCGATTTTTGTTGGGAGCCCCCTCTTGGTTGGTCTCGAAAGGGACATCAAAAGAAAATCCGCCATTTTGAGGGGCCACCAAATCCTCGTCCCGGGCGCGAGTCCCCCAGCCCCCGAGCCCCACGAACCGAACTGGGGACAACATCGCCCAGGGGCAAATGGAATGGATCTCCACTCGCGGAAAGGAGGTGCTGCGGGACCAAAGCTGCGCGGGCTGCACCCGCAAAGCCTCGTGCAGTTGCCCCAGCATGATCCTCGGCTCTCCCCAGCCGCTTTCCAAACCGGCAAGGGAATCCAAATGGGAATGTGTCAACATAGGCAGACATTCGAAAGGGGGTGGTGTGAAATTTGGCTTCCCTTGAAGCCAACCCTAAAAGGGGTACCATCAAAACAGCGCATGCCCAAATGAGACTGGGCCAGACTTAGATTCCTGCAAAAAGTTGTATGCTCACAGACCTTACCGGGAACAATGTGCTGAGCGTACTAGTCCGAATTAATCCACAGTTCCTCTTGTCTTTTAGGGAGCCCTGTCGATGCAAAGTTCCCACTGCCTTTGGGCTTGTCTCCCAATTATGAGAACCGCCAAAACGGCCGGTACCCTTTCTGTTTTGTGTTTATTGTGCTTTGTTTGTTTGTTTGTTTGTTTGTTTGTTTGTTTGTTTGTTTGTTTGTTTGTTGTAAGGCGTGCAACAAGAAAATTGAGCCCTCACAAAAAGGCGCGCCTATTTTCGGGCCGGGGGCTGGTACTGCACGTGCAGCCGCGGCAGAAACCGCTTGGGCACCGGTGCTTGTGCCATGCCCTCCGTGCCATAGGTCTCCTTCCTCACACTCGAGGCACCGAAACTTGCTGGTGCGATTGGCAGGGAAGGAGGAAATGACCCTTGTACTTCCATTTGCTTAAGGGTTCTGGAAAAAATAGACATATTTACAGTAGTGATAGATTCCCTTTACAACCAGCAAGGCAAAGTAAAGAATATTCTTAAGCAAATGGGTGTACAAACCATCCCTTGCGGTTTCCTTTAAGGGGACCCCTGCTGGGGCCATTCCTACATTCCCTACTGAGCACCAGCAAGGAAACGTCAGGTACAGTCAGGTTGAGGGCCCCTGAAAGGATGCCAGCTGAACCCCACACTGAAAGCATCACCACTTTTACCAGCTGATTTAGAAACGAATCTGAATCCTTGTAAAGGTCGTTTTTGGATTATTGCTTCAAGGAACCCTGTCGACACAGACCTTTACAGCTTGATCCCGGCAATTCACCAAATTCCGTGTTTGGCAGCAGCTTGAAGTGAAGGGTCTCGAGAAGGAATGAAACATACAACTAGGCGACCCAGCCAGTCACCGCTTTCCACCCCCCGCTT